CCATACTACTAGAAAACATTTGAGTAGAGCTATGAATATTTATATGTTCATTGGCTATTCATCTTCTGTTTTCATCCATGTTTTATCCTGAATAAGCTTTAAAGCTATGTTGCCTAAGAGCATTATAAGGATGTTTATAACATTGCTAAATAACTTGTCAGAGCCTGAAAGACAATACCTGTTTCCTTTGAGTTTCCTTGTAGTTCTGTTCTTATTTATTTATTTAGTACAATTTAGAGGTCATCCAACTTTATGTGACTCTGAGCTGCTTACATTTAAAAAGTAGGGACGATAAAAATAAAGATACAACGTAAGAATCTAGAAGCAAACTTTATTGCCTCTGTGCTGTGCTTCGTTTATGACATAATTTATGAGAGTTTGCATCTGGAGGATAAATGCATATATAATGTAGAGCTTGCATCTAATAAGCACAAACATTAATAAGTGAAAGATACTTAATGTACATATAAGCAAATCAGTGTTAATAAACAAGTAAGCATGAATAAGTGGCTTATTACAGGAGCCTAGTAAAGCCTGAGAAAAGAAGTTTACAATTATGCCTGGTTTACAAGTTCCAAAAGCTCATTTTGATTCAGATCACACCAACATGTTTAGAGAATTGCTAATACTAAATGTGAAGCATGGTCATGATAAACTGAGAAGCTGAAGAGATGAACTGCTAGTGTGCCAGATGAAGCAACTCCCTTGCAAGGATAGTTCTAAGACATGCCTGCCACTATAATCCGGCCTTCCGGCTACATGGGCCTGTGAGTGTGATAAGGTCTGTGTGAGACACAGTTGTGCCTTAACCCTTATCGCAGAGAAGGAAAGATGCATCCTGTCACAGTTATTGACAGTTAATGAACCCTGACATAGTCATGGATTCCATGAGGAAAAGTGGCCGCCTCTTGATTCTTTCAACAATGCATCAAAGAATAGTTTAAATTTTCTATAAAACAAATGCAAAACAAATGGATAATTTAGTCTTTAGCAGGCCACAACAAATTCTCTTGTCATTT